GCTAGTTCATTCACACGTACAAGCACTTGGTTCCTCTTGGGCGGTCAGTTGGAGCGAGTAAAGTGAAAAGGTGGGGGTTGCGAAGAAAAGCGTGCCTCCCCCGCTACCTCGAGCAAGCGCTGTAGAGTGTGAACGATCGGATCGAAAGCGAACTACTGCCTCTACGTCCCCCCCCAATTCGACCTTCAGGTTATCGGAAAGATGATCATTGACGGTGCGTTGAAAAGAGTCCAGGATTTGCAACCAGGTTCGGGCCGCACTGTAGAGAAGTTTACCTGAGTAGGCAGCAGGATGTCACCTGCTTTTAAAGAGTTCACACCTAGTGCACAAAGATGTTCGAGGGACTTGCACAGACTGTACACCCCCATGTAAATTGGGAAATGCAAAGCAGCACCAATCAAGACCCCCTAAACCTAAGGCAAGACTCTCAACTGCAAGACGATTCATCCCCCACACGCAAGAGGTTGTATGGCCGGCTCACTCATTCTCACTCGGGCTCAGTACTTTCTCGAACGCACGGTGTTCTCCCCGTTTTTGAAGGGTCACGTTTGTGTCACGCCACATCGAGGGTTCCCATCTTCCGTGCTCGAGGTCGGGCCCTGCTGCCTTTTTTGTGGTTTCCTGGCAGCCTTGCGCGGTCTGTCTCCCCCGTCTTGTGCTGCACTGGTCGTCGAGCTGGGTTCCCCACCTCCTTCCCCTTGGAAAGAGCGTCACGGTATCGTGATTGGGTTTGTTGGAGGAGGTCTTGGATTTGGTGTGGGAACCTCCCCACTTTTATTTGTAGTTCTGCTTCTACTCTTGGATTGAACCGCCCCACAATGTCCACGAGCTTGTCCGCATTGCTCCCCTCGTCTGCTCGAGCTCGTTGTCGTTGCTGGTGTCGACGATACTCCAGTTCGTCTGTAGACTCTAGCGCTTTCCCCGCTGCAGCGTCTTTAAGAAACCCTCTGCTGTCTGGAACAACTCTTCGGTCAGTCCAGTAATCCAGTGGATGTTGCCCGTACAAAATCGTAAGCCCCCCATCTGTGGTAAATTGCGTATACTCCGCCAGCGGCTGTGTAGTCTTCCCCCAGGGATGGCAGCAAGTTATGTGCCACTGCCTGGTTCTGACTTTCTGCCCATACTTCAAAGGGTTCTACGCTGTCAGACGGCGTGGTTACTTTAATCAGTTCTTGGACTTTCTTGTTTTCAAATGTATCTGTTCAAATGTAAGGGTTCGGTATCGTGCATTTCTTGTTTGACAAAGTGGTTTCTTTGCTGAAACTTTCGTACGGACATTAGCTACAAACAGTTTACGCTCTGTATTGACTGAGGTTTGTAGGCTCCTATCTGCGATTGTAACAGCGTTCTTCCGTTTCTTGTTGATCAAACTGACCTCTAGTTCCAGTACTAGTTACTCGTTGTCAGGACCCGCCTGGTGAGGCAACGCCTGCCGGGACCGCCCCCTCACGGAACACCAACCCACAGCAGTCCATTGACGAGCACTGGAAAATGTTTAAAGACTCGGTTCTGCAGTCCCTGGAGCTCTGCATTCCCGCAGAGGACCACAAGCCAAATCACCCATGGATTTCCCAGCAGACCTGGCAGCCTATCGAGCAACGCACGGAGGCCAAGCGGCAACAAAGCACAGAAGAGGAGCAACGGCTTCACAAGGCCATCCGCGCCTGTTCGGATAAGCAACAGCGGCTCAAGGACCGTCTTGCCGAGAGTGAAGCCACGATCGATGCAGGAGACAGGTGGCGTTGGATTAAGCGCATCGGCTCCGACTACAAGCCCCGTACGGTGACTTTGAATGGCCCGGACGGGAAATCCACCAGCTTTAGCAAACTGGCTGACACCTTTGCCAAGCACCTGGCCGAGGTTCAATGGGCCCTGCCTTCGGGAGAATACACGGGCCCCACTCACAGACTCACAAACGACAGCCCGGTGAACTTGCAACCCATAACGATGGATGAATTTTCCGAAAGTGTTAAAGCCCGGGGCCGGACAGCATCCCATCGGAGGCTCTCAAATGGCTCTCGGCAGACAGCCGAACCCCGTTGTTGAACTCCAGTAGTGGCCGAAGTGCACAAGCGGGGCACAACGGCTGACCCCAGCAACTAGTCTCGCTTCTGAGCACTTCGTGCAAATTCTTCGCTCGGATTCTCCAAAAACAGACTGGAGCTCGCCATTGACAGCAATTTGCGCAGTACCCAATTCGGCTTCAGAGCTGCGAGGTCGACTCAGGTCGACCACGCAGGCCATTCATGTGGCGAGGCGTCGAATCGAGAGCGCTGAGAGACACGGGTCAACGCTGCACGTCAAACTCCTGGACTGGACCCAGGTGTTCCACAAGTTACACCTCCAAGCTGTCCCACAGGCGCTGGCCCGACACGGAGTGTCGCCCGAGTTTATCACACTGGTGGAAGCCATTTACCGGTGCCCTATTCACAGTCCGGGCCGCCGGACAAACCAGCTAGCCACCTTCACAGGCCAGTTCGGGGATTCGGCAGGGCTGCCCGCTTTCCCCTTACTTGTTCCTGGTGGTGCACGGCATGAACATGGCCGACGTCGACGAGGCCCTCCAAAAGCATGGCTAATTTTTGCCCTGGCTTTTCAGCCAAAACCAGCCTTTCGACTTGGCATACGCAGATAACGCGGCCATTTTCACAGGCACCGCTGCGAGAGGACAGTTGATACTGCACACCGTTCAGGAAGTGGCTGCCCACAGCAACCTTACCTTGAACTAAAAGAAGTGTGAGCTGCTCCGATGACAAGCTGCAGTCAACAGCATCTACTTCCTCACAGGAGAACTCCTCAACAGGTTACTCAGGCCAAATACCTGGGAGTTCGGCTAAGATCCGACCCCGCGAGCAAGACGGACGTCACCACCAGGCTAGCCCAAGCCAGTTAACACTTCAAGACACTCCATAACTTTTTGAAAGCGCACAGGGCTGATATGTGCCCATGGCTGCCGACGGCATGGAAGCCGCTGCGTTGACAGACGTGGACCTCCACAGGCTTGAGCCTTTCATCCACAGTCACTTCGCAAGATCCAGCGGATCAAAGCCGCCTTTTACACCAAAGTTCTCACCGAACCCTTACGCATAGACCATTCGCAGCGAGGGAGACAGAGCACTGGCCGACCAACCCCCCTCACTCACTACATCCACAGGGCACAGCTGAAGTTGTTTGGTCACGTTTTGAGAGCAACTCCGAGCAACCTGGAAAGGAACTGTGTTTTCTTTTCGAAGGCTTGTCTATGCAGGGGTGGCAATGTAAAGTCAGGGATTAGACCGGGCCGTAGAAGACTCCACTGGGTTGAGCACTGCGCCGAACTGGCGTGGCATTGTCTCAGCCATACCCCACAGGCCCCAGCTACTCCTTCCCTTGCTTTTCCTTACGCCTTCTTGCAACTTCACAGGCTGGCAGTAAACCTTCCAGTCTGAAACAAGCTAGTGGGCTGCAAACGTGCAAGAAGCTCCTCAGGTCCTCCGCTTTCTTTTCCTACTCACAGTGAGTACAGGGACGTGCGAGAGCTTTGCGTAAGGCCGCCCACACAAAGTTACTATGTCCATATCTGTCCAGAGTGTCAAACGGGGTTGAAAGTTATTAGCATCTGTTCGTCGAAAGCTTCTGTCTCGTGCGGGAGCCTTTCCATGAGCCTAGCATTGACACCTCCCAGAATTATGCGCGTTTCGTGCTTAGCGTTACAGTATTATCCAAAACCTTGCCAAGGTTTAAAGGCCATCTTTGACCACGAGACTTCTTCCCGCATGCGGTGCATAGGCAGCGACAATTTGCGTTCGCAGTGGCGACGTGTCAAAGTCATCATAGGTACTGCATTATTCCACTTAATTGTGCGACATTACACTTGTTCTTCTCCAACTTCTTTTCATTGTGATATGGAGCTTGGGAAGAAATCCTACCAGCGCATCTGCATGTTCCAGGCCAACAGAAGCAATGTTATCGGACCTGCTCACTGCCCACTTGCACAAGGAAAGTCCAGCATTGCATGATTGCAGCAGTTCTTTGCCCTCCAGCCTTGCAGGCCTCTGCGCCGGTGGCTATGTTCAGGCCCGTTCTGTCACTCAGTTCTTTCTTGAACTCCTGCACAGGTTGTGTCATCTGCAAGTAGCAAACTCTTGCATATTTTTACATGCACATGAGGCTCACCATGACCTTGTTGCCTTCCCATCCACCGAAAAATGTTTCCAAAGACATACCTGATCCAGATGTTGCCGGAGCAAGCGATGCTGCCAGCTGACAGTCCAATTACGCTGAACTTGATGCACAGGAATGCATAAAGACGACAGCATGTTAAATGGATGTCTTCGAACAGATTGGTGCTCCTGTATCCAGTCATCGGCATATCTACCATAACCTGTAGTGCAAACTGGATCTTCCTCAAGCCCTTCGTGCCTGACGGGCTTTGTTGAATGCCCTGTGTTGACCCGCACCCGGCACGGGCTATACTCTTGTGGCTGTTTCAGTTGTACAACCACAACAGCACAATTGCGACGTCTGTCTTGGTGAATGTCACTGGCGTCTAATATGGGAGTCGCAGGGTCTGATCTGGAGTGAGCCTCCCGTACATAATTGCAGTGTGCTGTCTGCTTCCATTGGCTATATCGGCTTCCATTGTCGTGGTACCGCGAAGCATTTAGAGCCGCACACATGCGGCTTCGGACGACGCCGAGCTGCCCATGATGATGTACTGCGGCTCCGACGTCATCAGCCGGTCAACAGTGGTAAAGATCTGCTTGCGGAACCTCAAGTCTCGAACAGTTTGGTCCGAGTCATGGCATGCAAAAAATCGCGAGCACGAACGAGTTGTAACATGAAAGTCTGAATGCCAGGCCACAACTGCAGAAAATGCAACATGTCTTCATCAGTTGCCAGCTTGGGACTGTCAATCAGGATCCCCGACATGTGGAACCCGATGCCCTGCCACACTGCCAAGCACAGAAGGCACGGTTTTCAAGCACTATGTCTTCCCCATTGACTGTGAGGTGGAGATATCACCTTTCCGGATGAATCAAGGCCTTGCAAACGTCCCGATTCTGCATGATCATGCTCCAAAAATCGTACTCCACGGTGGTGTTAGTGGACGGAATGATGACCTCAACAACTCATTTCGTTGAGTAATTATAGTAATTCTGAAAGTGGTCTGCCTTCGCATCTGTACTTGTGTATAGCCAGTAGCATAGATTGCATGCTGCGGCGGGTCGAGGGAACACCAACTGCCATGCCATTCTTAATGGCTCATGCTGAAAAGTGATACAATCCTCAAGAACTGCACATGAGCACAGCCGGAGGCCCTCTCTCCATTGGAGCGAAAGACCGCCTACGATTCAGCCGATGTCAGACAGACGTCCGTGCAACTTGTATCAACCACGGAATTCTCAGACCTTAAGCAATATTCGTGAGGAACCCCATTTACGCACAACAGAATCCCTGATAGAAGCCTATAACTTCACTCGGAATCCTGGAGCGAACCCTCTCTCCACACGTATAACTTAGCAACCCACCTTAGCCTCGGCCCCCTGCGTACCATGTTGAGAAATACTTGCCCTAACGCATGGTAACAAACTTCCACGTTCTCACCCTGATCAAACACGATCCGGTAAATTGGAAGGAATGAAAAGACCGTGAACTCTTCAGTCTTCAGGCCGGAAGCTCCAAACTTCATGACGAATTCGTTCTGATCTGGGAAGCCGCCGCCAAGATCAAAGGTTTCCACCGAAACAGGCTGGCATTGACCGTCCTGATAGTCTGAGCTGCGGCATGCCATCGAACAGCATGCCTCGCTAAATCTTACACACTCCAGTCATGTCGAGGCGGGACACAGGCAGTCAAGCATTCCATAGTTCAATCAACGAAGCTGAGTGCAAAGACACTCCCAAAGCAGCTCCGTTGCTGTCCTCCCACTTGGTAGGGTAGACGCCCTTCGGGTAGCCAGAATTCACATCAGGGATGCGCACTTCCTCTCCAGTGAGAGGGCCTAGGAGTTGTCGCCAGTCGTTCCTTGGCGCACTTGCCAGGACGACGTGAAACATCTGGAAACCAGGCAACAAGGGGGACTTGGTGGGATTGACGGACTGTGGCCGTCATACAAGCAGCTAGGATCCGTTTTGCAGACCTCCTAACAAGCCCTGGCAAGATACCACCGGCATCTTGCAGCAAGCTATGTAGCCGTGGATGTCACCTCTTCGATCGACTTCGAGCCAAGATTCTTAGCGAGAGTGCCGTTCGTATACTGCTTTGTCTTGCTGCTGAAGTCAGCACAAATCGCTTTGCTGTCCGGCGCCTGCGGAGTAAAGTCGCGCTGCCCTTTTTCGAAGTCGGTGACACCATCCACATCGCCTGATCGTGGACGCTTGCATGGCGGCTGTGCCATTGTTGCCTGTGAACTGGGCAATGCGGTGTTTCGTTAACAATCGTTTACTTGGCACCGGCACGTCATCATCCAGCAGTAGAGCAAATTGTTTGATCTGTTCGCTTGCGCTCTTGCCAGACACGAGTTTGCTGGCTGCAGCAACAACATGCAGACGTGGAAAGCAGCTTCAAGATAATCAGGACTCGACCTAGTGCGAGCGGCTCCAACATACTGCGTAAATGCACTGCTCCGTCTCCTGAACTGAGCAAGCTACCCACTTTTGCTCCATCAGCGCCGCCTGTGCCAGTGCTGCCAATGCTCCCCTCCTGTTCACCTTCGAATGCCTCGGCGAGCGTCTGCAAAGGACAGTTACAAACGACGGTGGGACCGGTCATTTCAAGACATATCTGCGCACGCTCTCGCCCTAGCTGAATTATGACACACTTTACCATTCTGTTCCGAGAGACCCTTGCGCCGCCTGCGCCTGCCTTTCTTCCTCTCGCCTGCGGACACAGCTCAAAGGCGTTGCTGACTGATTCAGCCCTTGAGGCTTGATGGATGTTTGTGCTCTTTGCTAGGTTTTGCACTCCTGCTTCTGTGGAGTTCTAACTCCTTCTCGCACATGAGCTGTTTTGTTTGACAGTTTGATCAACCCATGCTTTATTCAGATTTGTGCTGCAAGCGAAGACAACTCACAAATCCGCGTTGCGCGGCCTTCTATCATCTGCGGCCTGCCAGGCGAATGGGCTTTGTTTGAGCTGTCTTCCAAACTGAGCAGCAGACCCTCGAAGACACCCTGGCAGGAGCCCACAATCGCAGGCATGGTGAGAGGGCATCGTAAGCATCGCGAGGGAGAACATCGGCCCTCATGACTCTCTGTTTGCAGGCATGCCCTCGCTATCTGTGTCAGACCCCTTACGCCTCAAAGCGGACTGCCTGACGCGCCCTAAAACTGCAGCAGGACAGGGGGTCAGCTCCCCAAAGAAACGCAATTTGGCGGTGGGACGGTGTGAACAGTGCGGCATGGGGTGTAACAGGGTCTAGAGTCTTTTCGGCACCTGACAAGTTGTATCACCACAGCGAAAGCCATGGGCAGGCTGATAACCCCACCTCTCCTTCGGATTTTGTGTGAATGTGCAATGGCCTGCTCTTTCTGTCGATGGCGCTCTGCTACAACAGAGGCGATGGACCTTGCGAGCTGAAAGATACCATAGTTCTGCGTACAGGTCAAAGCCGCTTCTGGAACTGTTGCAGTGGCGCCAGGACTTGTTCAAAGCTTGATAACTGCGGACGCTGAGAAGAAGGGCTTGTGCGAAGCGGCTCCACATGTAAAGCACGGGAGATTCACGTCACCTTCTTCACGAAGCTTGCGCCTTTCCAGCGAATGAGCCGAGCAACGATACGCAAGGACTAATCTGCACAGTGTTCTGATGCTACGGATGTGCCTGTGAAAGCCGTCTATGCAGTCGAAATGGAACCTGTGTTTACCTCAGAATGCATGCTGGGGCCGTGAGAGGTTGAAATTGTCACGCATACCCAGTTCTGCGCAGCTGGCACGGCAAGGTCTTCACATCACGGATTGCCTGCAGAATGTCGAGGCTATGTGATTTCGATGTGTGCGGCAGCAGCCTCCATGACCTTCTTGCATATGTCACATTCTCCAAGGTTTGCCTCGGCAGTGGACAGCCACAGGATGCCACAGGGCACCGAGACGGCATAGATTCATGGCCTCCGCCAAGTTTGGGCCAGGACGCCTCAACTCAGCTGGACCCTGACACGAGACCGAGACCCTAGAAAGAACCGCAAGCTGACTCGGCAATGTGGCCTCTGAGGGAGTGCTGTTCTTTCGGCGAGCCAACTCATGCACCTGAACTCCGATCTGCTTGAGAGGCTGACAGAATCACGAAACCAGGAGCCCCGCAATCATCTGTCCATCAGAGGCACTGGACGGTGAGATGTCAACTCTTCTCCCAGCTACGCATTACGAATGAGCGATGATCTTTGAGAGACATGACGACATGGCCTCACCAGAGTATATTGACCGCACATGCCAAACTTGCAGTCTGCACTGACCTGCATGATTTCGGTCCTGTGGGGCTGGTAGGACCATGACACGATGCAAGTGATTTGCTCATCCATCTTGAAGCCGTCTATGAGCAGCAAAGCAAGCCTGACGAAATTCCAGACAATGTCGGGGTCACCGTTGGGTGATGCAACAGCTCATTGAAGCCAAAGCTGCGCGGAAAAGGAGGCATGCAGGAGCAAAATCACAAGACAATTTAGTCGGACCGCTTCACGTGACGACTCCACAAGCGTTGCTCGGGAAAGATTTCAAAAACCAAACCCACGGTCTTTTCGCGCAACTTCTAAGTCAGTCAACATCTAGTGCTGACTTGCCGTTTGCAGCGATCGGCGAGGGAGTGGAGTCTCCTCACGCAGTTGGAGAGAAGTGACCGCTGCAGGTACCTCTGCCAGCCTTGTCCGAGAACTGACTCTGCCAATTTGACCAGTTCATCAGTCTTGGCCTGCATGCATCTGCCCTTGCTCCCAGGCAGAAGGGGGCCAGGAAAGGCCTGAAGGGTCTCCACGGTCAGCACTGCATCATCTAACTTTGATAGCTTGGCTTGCTTGTCTTTCCTTGGCACAGAGTTGCGTGGAAAGCATCAGCATGTTTCGGCAAACGAAAGGCTCCTGGTCCTCGCACTGGCACGACTATGCGCGGCTTCTGATCTGGTTGCGATCTTCCCGCAGTCGGGCAAATTCTGAAAGATATGCGCGGCATAACGATTCGAGCGTATCGACCAAAAAGGTATGGAAGCACAGGGCTACTTAGGTGGTGTCGAAGCTGCACGGGTGCACAGCAGTCCACAAGACTCCATGTCTGAAAAATATTGCGAACGATGCCATGGCCCTGGCCCCGTGCAAGAAAGCCCGGCCCGGACAGCCAAATCTCCGCGATTAGTGTGGTTCTAGCCGGGCATGCAAGCATTCTCATGCTGTCTTTGAAGTTGCTCAACTGCTTCTACAACTGAGTGGGCCGAGTGCAAGGATGTGCAAGGCTGACCTGTCGGTCTTTGGTCACTGACTGACAGCAAACATATACAAGCAGGGACCGTCAGAAATGCTGCTGCAGCCCTGCTGTAGCAAAGGCAACCAAATCAGCCGAGAGTCGAGTCCGTCAACCATTGCTGAACCTCGTGGTGATGATGCTAGCGATAGGGATAGAAGTGAATAAACCGCGGTTCGCACCAACTTTGCATGAATCCAACGTGTTTTGAAGTCTCACGAGGCAACGCTGGATGCCTCGTCACAAGTCTTCTCCAGTCCTTGCAACTTGGCGTTCTCTGTGATGCTGCGGGGGTTCGGCTGCCCTTGCGCTGTGGCCGCTGCGGCCTATCAAACTACTCGTGGCAGCACGGAAGAAATCTCGCTACAAGCAACTCATCTCTTTCCACCTTTGTACGAAACCTGCCTTGAACCTGGAGATGGATTCTTCCAAGCTATGGATAAGTTCTGGTCTGCGGGCATCGTCGCGATGACCTCTGTCACTGCGAACTGAGTGCCGCTGCAAGGAAACATGTTGCTCTTGCTCAATCTTGGGACCGAGCGTGCTTCAGCTGGGCCGCCCAAAACCTGCAGCATGTCGGTAGTCGAAATCAAGAAGCAAAACAAACTCTTGGCCCTCGCAGGTCAAGTGAATCTGATCTGTTGCGCAACGAATTGTGGACCTCTGCAACTTGGCTGAATATTTTGCCTCATCCAACATCGTTTCTTAATCAGAAGTTACGATTATCTGTCATTGATTCATGCAAGTGAAAATTAACTAGCTTTGAACTGATGCATAAGCAGGCTTTCCCTTTGCCCTTTCGAGCGCTGTTAAGCTGCCCCGATACGCTGCTGAAGGTCCTGATCCGTGTGCTTAGCTTGGTGTGGATAGGCTTGCGAGCCGCAAGCTCTGCAACAGACTTCTTTGTGGAGCATGGGCTTGTGTTGCCACCATGCCCGTTTGAGCAAACGCTCATGCCTGTCAAGTGCGCTCGATGTTTCCGCTTGTGGGTCACGGAAATCCAGGCCTCACGACTTTGCGTTTTGGCTGCTTCTTCTTTCCCTCCTTCTCAAAATAAACCTGAACCCTGCGTCGCCCTGCGTCCAGAAGACCGTCAAGCCCAACAAACCTCAAGACCGGAACTCGTTCAGGCCACAGAACCAACCCCCAGTAATCGAGACAGGACTCGGGACCGCCCGAAGGAGCTTGCCTTACTCCATTTTGAGGGGGCACCCCAAGGGCGGAGAGGGAGCTCCTTCACCAAAAAAACTGTTTAGAGCCAGCATGAGCCAACATAAGCAAGTTTGTCACAGCAGTGTTTCACGACCTCGACATCGCCCTTACACGCACACATACAAAAACACAAACAAACAGAACAAGGACAACAACCACACAACCAAACAAACAAACCCATAGAAACGCAAACACCATGCGAATTATACATAGTTACCCGCTCGCTGAAGTCAACGGTGCTTAATACCCGAGAAGGAAGGTCGTCCAAGGGAAAAGGCGGCATGTCAAATGAACAGGAAAGTTGGGCAAACCACTGACGGCTGATGGGCAACCTAAGTATGCCAGCATAACGCCCGGTTTAGCAACACACATCATCAATTACGTTAACATCGACGGCCAGAGTTGGGGTCACGGGGTCAAGCCCAGGACCAGAACGGTCCAGCCGCGGGTAGTGGGATACTTCGCAAGACTGGTATACGTTTTTCGTTCATTCTGGCTGAAAGTCGTCTGCAGGTTTAGATATGCTTCCTGCCAGTCTTCACTTAAAATGAAAGCAGTTTCAAGCTTGTTGTCCGTGCAGCCATGCATTTTCAATGTTGTACACTACACTCGCCATCAGAATTCTATCGGACTTTGCAAAAGCACTACCTGTGCGACATGTTGTTACGTCTACAATTTCTACAGCAGCTACATGGTAAACCAAACGAAGAAGACTTGCAGAACACGGTTTTGACCCGCGCTGGCGGCCGAATGGTTCAACCTTTTCTTGGGCCGGACTGTGGTGCGGTCTATCTGTGCGTAGCCTCTGCACAAGTTTCAACTCTAGCACCCTGCCTCGAAGGTTGAGTATTCGATCACAGCATTATGGTGGCCGCACTCTGCGACAAACCAATTCAACGAGCGTCCAGCGCGAAACACCAGAAGCAACCAGTGACAAATATCGAAGCGTGAATTCTAGAACACTGAGGGCTGCAGGGGATGTTGTGCCCTAACTGAAGCGATGTGTCTCTCGAGAGTGTTGAGCCTGAGCTTGGGGGGAATATCCCGTGATCCTTTCCAATCCACTGCTGAACGATGCATTTCGATAGTGAAGGTACCAGTACGTCGGCGGGTGGTCGGCATAAGGATTCAGAGATGTGCTCGCCTCTCGCCTCTCTCACTTGAGGACTCGTCCGTTGCCAGCCGCCAGCCCAACGTCGTCCAACCGGGTTTGTTCGATCTTGGTCTCCATTCTTTCAGGTTCCGGGCCCGGCCACGTCACGAGTCGATTCATCTGCGAAGCTGGTACAAGAATCGGCTTGAGCCGGTGGGGGCCTTCAGTTCCTCGAGCTTTTTCACGAAGGCCTCTTTCAGGTCGTCGGGATGGTCATACAACCAATCCTGGCAGTTTCTCGGCCCACAGGGTTCCTAAACTGACCAGAAGCCCACGCTACAATAACGAGCAAGTGCCAAACCTTAAACTTACTTAACCCCAGGAAACACCAGAAACCCTGGACACTGAACCTGAAAAGCACGCCTTGAGCACCTTCAAGATCCCCTCCAAATCCCTCCAACAAAACAGAAACACACACTGGCTCTCGAAAATGTCCTCGGCGCTCTCGAGCTGCTTCGACAACATCTGACTGTCCTCTTCCTGCAGCAGCGGGTCACATTTCCATGCTCGCGATCCTACTGTCCTACTGGCAAGCACCCCCTCCTTTGTGCAAAACCGCATCTCTACAGCACAAACCCCCCTATTGCCGGTGACGTCATCAAAAGAAAAAGCCAACTACATGCAATGCTCACACCAACTGGTTCCGCACATTCGTCAGGTTGTTCTTTTGTGCAGCATTCCGGCACGCACGGAACCGGACGTCGGACACTTGTGCTCCGTGTTGAGGCCGTGGTGATGCTGCGGGGTACAGTAACAGGGACACTGCTGCAGTCATCAATAACATCTGACCAGACATGAGATGCCGTTCTTGTGGCGTCTGTGTGCCAGCGCTTTCGTGGCATGCACTTCATTCCCGTTCGGACTGGTTTCAGGCCTGGCTCTGGATGACCGGCTTTTGCAAACTATGGCGCTGTGGTAGGCAGCACGCACTCGTTTGAATCACTACCCACCGAGTATGCTATGCCATGCCAGTAGACACTGTTGATATCTTACATGACCGATGCCATACAACGACATCGATCACAGTCACCACTGGGAAAGCGTGGTCATTTTCATGCATATCGTCCTGAACTGTTGCGCCGCGGGCTGGGACGAAAACGTACAAAAATCCTCTGCAAAGAGCCTGTGAGCTTGTGCATGCAGGCCGAAAAACCGCGCAAGGATTTGTTGCTCTCCAGCGAGCTCAGGACATCTCCAGTCAGCGCAGTGGTCGTGATTCACAAGCCTGAGAGGCGCCTCTGACTCTGAGAGCACCCTGCAACACGAAGGGGTCGCTATTCAGAGTGGACCCGAGCAGGCGAGCATCAGAACCTCCATGAGCAAAACAAAAAGGATCAAAAAGGACCCTAATCCCCCGACATGAGCGATGGTTGTCCAAAATCGCTTCGACACTGGGAGACCTGCTTTAAAGTAACTGCCGACGCTACTTCGAATTCACAGGAAGACTGGAAAGGGTAAAAGATAGAAGACAGCACGGATTTAATACCACGTTCGACAAACATGGAAACAGTCAGGCATCTAGGCAGGACTTGATTCATGTCAACCACGAATACCCAGACTGTGGGTGCATGCTTCGTACCGCGATCTTTCGGTTTGCGGTGAGACGGTAAGATTTCACCATTGCTAGGCGGCCGAACCAGCCCGGCAAACCACACCTTCTCAAGCTATGAAAGATTCTCAACAACCACCGGCGCTCGCTGCCTTGATGTATCCCTTCAACTTTCCACCATCGGCAATACCTGGCACAGGCCGATCAATGCTTCCCTTGGCACTCGAAAGCGAACTGCGAGTGCAACCTTCGACCAGTAGAAACAAAGAAAAGATAGCAAGAGGTCCGGCATCAACAGAGATTCAGACATCTTCTCATCTTGCATGTCTTGGCCAAGTTTCACCGCTACTTGGTTTTCTCGATTAGCGACAGCACGAAAAGAACGAACATGACTACTCAGTCAGTTTGCTTCCCCCTTACTGCTTAAATGTCCCTCTGCATCAAGATGTTGATGTTGTCAAAAATGTGCAATGCAAACAAGGATGTATTGGACGCAGCCCCTCGCGGGACATACATAGCACCCGCGTCTTTTGAAAGGCTTGGCAGTGCAACGCTAGCCAGTTCCTTCCTCAAAGCATGGCAGAAGCACTGCTGCGCATCGTCAAGATGTATGCTTCGAGGTCATTCTTCCTTCGTGCACTTCAGGCTTCATGCCCAGCACGAGCAAAGGTAGCAAATTCAAAAGAAGCCAAAGACTGTCCAAACTGTCCTTGCATTCGTCTCGATCACCTCCTTCACACTGGCAGAAGTATACACACAGATTTGCAACAAAACCGAATCTCCTTGGCGCTTCTCTGCACACTAGTCACTTGTCCCTTTAGCCAGGCTGTCATCAGTGGCTCTCATGCGAAGAGCTGTCCTGCATGTCCTGAATCATCTTCTCTTCCTTCTCCTTGCTCAGTTTAAGCCTCAGCAAGGCGTGCATCAGACCAAAACGACGGAGCACATGACATCTAAGGACATTGCAGCGTCTCGCTCAAACCTGGACCTTGTGAAGGTTGGGTAGGTACAAGGATGAGGCAGGCTGGGATGCACTCAAACGCTGGCAGATGTATGACATGTTGTCGCAGTCACATGTGCTGGAGTTGCGTACAGGAAGCTGCCAGGTTGAAAAGTAGAGACAGGCCAGAAGGTGTGTTGTAATTGAGCATCGAAGTTTCCGATTCGAGGCTTGCTTTGGGTTCAGGAGGACAGGGCACAGTCTCCAGGACACGTGCATGCGGCGACTAAAAACTGTGACTTGAATGATGCAGAGCATGCAGAGCAATAGCTGGAATTCGGCATGCATGAAGTTCACACGTGATTAAGCGATCACAGGGACGGAGGCAGCAGCCCAAGGCCACTGCAACCCTTCTTCTTGATGGAAAGGTCAATTCTCTTGATTTTTCTTTTGCGTGAAGCCTGCATCGCGGGCCAAGAAAAGTACAACTGCCGGACTGATACAGCAAGTTGCCCAGACAACACCACTTATCGAAGTTCGGAGGTTGGCCTCCTGGTCGCCTGCATCCGGCATAGGTGCATCCTGCACCACTAGAACTGAGGACACACACTGCCACACTTGGCGAGACCATTTTGAGAGCGCAGCAGGCATTGTACACCAAGCATGTGATGGACTGTTACACTATGAAGCTCTTCGCTCTCTCGTACCGACTGCATCAAAGTTGTATGTCAAGCTGCAGGCTCTCTTCAAAAACTGGTACCTGGCACGGTCATGCTCTGTACAGAGCAACGTCTTCATCGGCCGTCAACAACATCCACGATCACTCAAATCTTCATGTTCATGCTGCATGGATGCTGCTTATCCCCTGTCCTCCCAGCACCTCTTCAAAGCATTCCCACGGCTTCTCGCTGCCCAAATGACACGTGTTGTTGTCGACCCTATGTGGCCGCACCATTCACGGAACCCTGATGCTTCCGTCCTCTTCCTCCTCGACGAGATGGGCACTCTGGACCTTGGCTTTCTCAAGACCAAATCTTGCACGCTCCGAGGGCTTCTGCAACCACAAGGGTCAGAAGGCACCTGTTCTCAGTGGTCGCCGGCATCAAATCAAGCACTGCCAGTACAGGCTGCCAAGCAGCCGCGAACGTGCCATGGAGGGTCAATGCGGTCTTCACCTTCCAAGAATGCGACGGCAAAACACTTGTGTTCAGGGCGATTTCTGATGTTATTGTCACTGAGGCTGGCGTGGCAGGCGTGTTTGTTGCATTAGATTATTTTCGGTCTTGAACGCATCTTGTTTTGTGGTGTAAACCGCGTCGTTTACCTTACAGTTTGGGGTTGTTAGGGGCATCGCATGAGAATTGATCAGGCTGACAGCCAACTTACACCAGGGGTATGCGTGGCGGGTCTTGCCCTCAGCCTTGCCCGCGAATTTTTGGGCCTCCACGAGCTGAGGGCTGCACTCCCTTCTAGGTCTTTGCTTCCGGGGTCCGTTGCAGGTTTCTTCTAGGGTTTCTTCTACACTTTTCCTTCCAGGGTTCCTTCCAGGTCTGTTCGCTTTTTGGGTTCCTGCCAGAGTTCCTTCTAGGGCTTCTTGTAGGGGTCTCTGAGGTCACTGAACGGCTGCTGTACTGCCACGATAGATCGATTAGGGTTATTGTACTGTTCGGGGCTAGGGGTTTATTCAGGGTTTGGGAGGGTGTCGAGCAGAGCCAGGGCAGAATCTGCGGTGCAAAGGCGAAGTAGGAGGATCCTGCAACAGCCGACAAAAGCCGGGTGAGACACATCGGAGAGAAAAACACAACTAGTAACCCAAACAAGAGGCACATAGAGGCACAGTTGCTGAGTATGCCACAGGAGAAAAACATTTAAACAAAGAACACAGTTCACAGAAAAATACATGCTTAACTAACTTACTTGCCACCTCAAGCCGGTCCAGCTGCGAAGGTGAGACGGAAAAAGACACACTCCAGAATTCTTTATCATGATCCACTGCAACGCAGAAAGCGCCTTCACTTTCTTTGGGGCATCTTGCAAAGGCACCTCAATGGTATAGGTTCCCAGGTCCTGCATGCAACCAGCTTCGCGCACACATGCCAGTGGCGACCATGAAAATCTCGTCGGACGAGTCGACCCTTTTCTAGTCCTTCGAAGTGCCCGACGGCAGCTTGTCGGCTGCATACGAAACTTTCAGATCGAAGGGAGCCTTGCGCTTGAACGTTATGACCTGGAACATGGCCACATGCCAGTTGGCTGCCCTCAGCCTCATGATCACGCCCGCCTTGAGCAGGTTCAGCACAGAGTCAGTAGAGAAAACCACAGAAGTCACGTCCTGTCGACAACTTCAGGTTGCATCTTTCGGTCTCCGCAGCATTCCGCAGCCAGTAGAGCATGCATAGCACATCGACGCGTGCGCGTGAAAGAAGAGCCACTGAACAGGCTTGCCACCGGCGTGCCTTTGTGTTGCCGTTGCCTCCATCACTGATCGGCATCTGCCAGCCAATGCCTGCAAAACATCATACATTGAGGACCTTGACTATTGTGACAGAAGAACCGTTGCTCATCTTCCTTCTGCATTCTGTTTGTCTAGTCCATGCTGATGTTCTCGTCTGTTCTCGCCCGGTCTGTTTCCCACAGCTCCTCCCCAGCCTGCCGAGGAAAGAGACTTGGACAATTCTCAGTCTCCACCCCGCCCAACGTGGGACTGTTGCTGGCTAAGCCTCTTGAAGGGCTGCAGCGGTCAAGAGCATGGGGCACCTCTCTAGGCATCTGGAAAAGATGCTACTGGTAGAACCAGTGTATCCTAGCAGATGGGCTCCTCGGGTCGCAAGCCACTAGTTCATGTGACCGGTTCTCTCTCCTCTTTGCATTCAGGCTGTTGATGTGATGCCCACACAAGCTTCCTTCCGTTGAGTAGCCCAGACTTCGGCTCGCGTCCCGATACTGTGCTCTGAGCCGTATGCACGGAATGGTCGAAGAAACTATCAAGGCCAGGGAATTCAGGCAGGTACTGCTGAAAGATGTCATCAGAAAGATACACAGGGCTGGGCGTACAGTTCTTCACCCACCTGGTTCCTGACCAAAGCATACTTCCCCTGCCAGTTTTTTCGGTGTGGTTTGTAGGGAAACTCGCTCGCCACTCTGTCTGCCATGCGCTGCCAGGTATCGCCGACATGCGCAATGCACTCGTCGAGCCTCTAGTCCGGAATCTCTCTTATCCCTCTGTATTGCCTTTTGCTTCTCTTTGCTTTTCCAAGCTTGCGCTTCACTCCGCAGTCCAGCCCTCACACCACGATTCTTGCTTCTGGCTTCTGCATTCAGTGGCGGCGCCAAGCAAACGGCTTCACAGGTTGGACAAGGACACCGTCGCCGAAGAGACAAGTGCAACTCAACACTCTTACCCTGGTCTCACCGCAGCTGAAACATACAGCAGCATGTGCCGAGATGACGGTGCAGGGGCTCCGGCTGATGGGAAATTTGCAGCTGTCCTACAAGTGGGGACAGGCATTAGATATCGGAAGAAAACAAATGATGTTCAGCTGAACCCTCCGTGGAGAAAAGTCCGGCACAAAGGAGACCATTGACACAGAAAGAGTCCTCCACTTTGAAGTCTTGCACTTTGTACAGCGGTGACAAGATTGCCGCCTGGAGCGCGCAGCCTGCAGGCATCTGCAGCCCAACAGGTCTTTGCGACAGGCTGGAGCCGGCCGTCTCGGGCCTCGAGCCACGCACTCGTCTGCATTCATGGTGGTGGACAGTTCCTTGCCACCAAAAGCCTTGGAGCACATCTCCTGCCAAAGTCGGATGTATCAACATTCAGGGGTCTCCATGGCATCTCACCTTGACCCAGGGAACACGCGCAGCTCCCCCACAAATTTCAACCTCAGTTGCATTGCCGAAGATACGCCCTCCCAAGTTTCTCCCAAGCGCGAGAAGACTTGGAGATGTGCTGAATCGATTGCAGACACCGACAGGTTGCAAGAAGCCTGGCCACCGAAACAGAAGATGCAACATCCGTCTACATGCTACGTAGGATACTACACATGCGATATGTTTGTATATACTTATAGACAGATAGATAGATAGATAGATAGATAGTTAGTTGGCCCCACAATCTTTTCCAGCAAAGATGTTGAAGATCTGTCGATGTTGGTCGGCCTTTGCTGCCTCCAATACGTCGCTTACCTGACAAGGGACGTCAGCACGACATGCTCACTCCGTTTCGTATAGTCATTGATTCTTGATTCTGCTGCACCCGCCTTTTTCATCATCGGCTTGCACATTTCTAGAAAGGTTTCTCGGTCCACATTTCCTTGGCTTGTGTCATCGACTCTGTTCACGAATCGTCGCTCTTCTCTCGGGCACAAGACTCAGCGAATCTCTCTGAAGCCAAAGCATGAGAACTGTGATAATTGGTTTGCAGAAAGAAGACTGGTTGTTTAGAGGAACAAGATGTGGATCGTCAAAGGATTGTGTCAAGACCTACACTGCCCTGCGTATCTCGCATGCTCTACTGGCCTCAGTGACACTGTCCGTAGATATGACACCATGTCAACTGCAGGAAGAGCAAGTCGATTGCTCAGGACAAGACCACTGAAATCGTGATCCTCCATGAGGCACTCACACGACACACTAGCCTCAGAGGCTCACGAGCATCTCTTGAATCTTGAACTGCAATTCCGCCAGTACCCATCCAGTGAAGAATCACAATCCGCAGCCTCTGTGTTCGCGGACAAGATCTTCTTTGTTTTGGCCACAGCATCCTGTCAGTTCAGATGTGAGAAAGCCGCATCTCCACAGCACCGGAAATCCCAAAACTGGCAATAAAATGGAAGGCACAACTGCTTCGCACTGCAATGCCGGTGTGAAGTCATAGTGAGATTGGAGAGACTGCCTCGGGCAGTACTTTGAAGCTCAACGGACGAGCGATGCATCGTTTCGGGCAAGGGGAGCTGCAATTGCTTTCGAAGCTGTAACTCGAAGACACCACTGGGAGAGCGAGGGTGTTCACCGGCTCGGAACCCCTTGGGGCCTGGGGATCACCAGCGTGGTCTTCCGATTCCGGGACAAGATGCCCTGTGCCCTCTGGCAGGAAGCCACGGTCCACTGCTCTCTGCATCGCTGGAACACCCGACTTGCTCGTACACCTCTCCCCAATCCGCTTCAAAAAAAAAGATAAGCATCTAAAAACATTTACCACGGTAGCCATCAAAAACATTGATAGGCATCAAGAAAAAATTGTTTGGGGGCTTAGGGTTTAGACGGTAGCCATCAAAAAATGATACGCATCAAGAAAAACATGCATGGAGGGTTTAGGATTTTTTAGGGTGCTTATCAAAGTGTTTTAGATGCTTATCAATTTTCTTAGATGCTTATCCATTTTTTTTGATGCCTAGGCCCCAATCCAGAACGGCCGGCGTCCTCCAGCTTGAAGCAAGCCTTCTTGTTGGTCAAGACATCGCAGCCTGTCTTCGTTGCATTTGTAGTGCAAGTAGCTTTCGCGGCTTGTTATCAGTATAATTCCAAGACATGTCTGGCCCAAGCATCGAGGCAGTGGAGGTTCACTGCCAAAATCAAGGTTGAACAAATCAAAACCACAGAGATTCGGAAATCCAGACCACTTGATCAAAAGAGAGGCTGAGACTGGGAAACAGAAAAACAGCTGCACACTGGAGTGGGACCTGTCTTCTTGTTGAACCTCAGTGCAAGCACCAAACCAAAATTGCCGCTTGTCAAATCAACAATCGTGAACGAGAGCATAATGTGACGACCGCAGTTCGCACCGAATTGCTCCAAGGCACTGGTCGGCAAACGTCCTAATGAGGCATTCAACCATGTCTCGGCCCCCCACCTCGCAAGCGAAAGTACCCGGACGAGGGCAATTCTCCACGATCAAACCCAGGCCTTGTCCGACTTCTCGCACAGAACTGTCAGCTCGCCCTTGAGGAACTGAACAATTGCCACAGAGAAATTGGAATGACCTCAGTACACTTCCTGCAAGCAGGCGAATCAGGTGGACTTCGTAGCGGCACACGCCCTTCTTGGGAAGTAGTACCCGAGTCTCGGGCCCATCTGACAGAAAGCCACTATTGATGGCTTCTCAGCATCAAAGTTGCTGTTCCTGAAAAAGCCATACCTTGCAGCAGTGCCAAAGCAGCGGAGTGCGCAGATGCCACAATGAATTTGCTTACTGGAAACGACTCCCTCAGCCACCAACTCTAAAGCTGTCGCGGTATGCTCGTTGACAACCTGAAAAGTCTGATTCGTTTCTTTATGAAACCAGCAGCTCAAGAACTGGCATACATGCTGTTTCGGTGCATTTGCATCAATTATCATCAATTTCTGCCCCTTGGGCACACAACGCTGCAGGGTCTAATCACGTGATTTAGAACCGCTGCCCACCAGAGAGGGGTAGGGAAGCAGCTCCGACACGTTCTTATCTCCCCGAAAACTCCCCTGCTCATGATCATGTCATCCGCACCATCTTAGAATCTTGTCGGATTGTGAACTTGTCTTGTTCATCTTTCTACTCCGTCGGTTTCACTGTTGATAATGCGTCGATGCAGACGCATCAGACAAGGCTCCTTGCAACACGGCGCCATCTTTCTTTCGCTTGCCTGCCTGGAAAGGCCTGGAAGGGGTCTGGGGAAGGGGTCTGGGGGATGGCTTTTAACTTCTGGACCAACCGGCTTGGGCTTTGCCGTTCCCCACCTGCAACCGGACTTCCAGGACTCCATAAGTGCTATCTGTCTCTCTCTCCGTCTCTTTGGTTTGCTTGGGGCATGAGGTGCCAGCAGTCCTGACGCCCCGCGCCCGAGGCGCTTCCCCTTCCACCGTATCAGGCGGGAAGGGCTCGGCTGCACAGAGGTCCCGCACGCGGGAGCAGGACGCTTGGCCACCCTGTTTGGGTTCCGCACTTTTAGCTTTACAAAAAAAGAAACATGTTGTAATTGCCGGCCCCGCAGTCGCTTGCTTGCCGCAGGCACACCATTCTAGGGTTCAAGGAAGGTTGAATGGGTGCCGATTTTTCACAAATTAAAGTTAGGACGAACTTCAGTGAAAGACGCCTCTCCTTCATTTTCGCGTATGGCAGTAGGCTGATACTCGGATGCCGGGTGCCCGGCACTTGCAGAGGTTGTGTACAACTATGTCGTTGAAAAACTTGGTGGCCATACTACTCACTGGTCGCTCGTCTTCATTACCTGGTGCCCCGGTCCATGTCTTGGCTGTCCTCAGGAATCTCATCCCCAGTCTTTCTTTTGAGCCTGTTGCTTCTCTTGGTCGGCGCGGCGGGTCAATGGGCTCAGCTGTTTTCCCCCACGCACTTGGGTCGTGCCTGGTCCTCCGCTGGTGCAAGGCATAGTGGGGGTCCTCCTCGGCTCCAGGTGTCGTACTCCTCCACGACCCGGCGTTGCGCCATGGCCCTTTCGCGGATGGCCTGTTCCTCACAACAGAGTTCCCACCCCTGGCTGAGGAGTTCGGCGTGGCTGGTGGCCGCATCAGTGCCGGTGCGGCCCCTGCCTGTTTCGGAGTCACCCCTGTCCTTCCTTGGTCTCCTTCTCGGTGCTGCAACTGTTGCCTTGCTTCTGTGTCTGGGCCTTCATGATGTCCCAGAAGGCATCATCGGACTCTTTGTGCCCCGTCGTCTTGCCAGCTTCTGGTGTGGGTGTCCAGCTGGCATGCCATCTTCCCGGGTACTCAAAGCCTTGGGCTTGGCGTCCTTCTTGCTGCTGGTGGTGCTCGAGCCCAGGAAGAAGAGGATGAGGAGGCGGAGGGTGTGCACTGTTTCCTCTTCTTAGAGGGTGTGGCTGCATGCGGTGGTGCCGCCCTCGACTTCGATGTCGCTCGTAGGGGTGCTTGCTCCTTTTCGGTCTGCTGGCAGGTTCTCGAAATTTTCCTGTTGGCTTGTCTCCTTGGCGCGGGTGCTTGTCTTCGCAGTAGTCGATGTTTCTCGCCGGTGGCGCTTGGCAAAGTGTGCTAGGACTAGGAGTTTTCGGGTGTCCCGCTTGGGGTCCTCTTGTGTAGCCTGGATGAGAACTTCCACGCTGCCCCGCCTTGGGCGGTGCTCTGGTAGAGTGCACAGTTTGTCGCCAAGCGGTCATGTGCGTGGTGTCTGCCCACCGCCCGTCTTTTTGACCCGATCAGGCAGCGGGGGCAATGCCGAACTCCCTGGATCATCAAGGCCTGGGGCTTGTGCTTTTCCTCCTGCCCGTTTGTTCCCCTTCTTTCTTGGGGCGTGGTGTCCCCCGCATAGTTTGTGGATCTCCTTCTTGGGGTCCGTGCCACTACCCTCCGTTGTTGGGTGTCCCTGCCCAGTCTTGGTGTACCTGGTCTCCTTCTGCGAAAAGGTGGGCGGTCAGCGACTGCACAGTCTCGAGCGGCGAATGCACGATGGTCCCCTGGCTCAGCGGGACACGCTGGGTTCCTCGATGAGATGGCATGTTGCCTCTTCCTATTGCTGGGCTACCAGGTTCTCCCGGGTGGCAGCCGGGGTCCCCACAAGAAACGAGGGGGCCAGGGTCAGAGGAGCACTTGCGCGATTTTTGTTGTGAGCGCAAACCCAGCGGCGAGTGGCCTCAAGCCGCCCCCGCTCAGGGAATCGTCCACCCCCTCCCGAGCACGAGTTGAAAAGCGAGGCAGACGACTTGAGCTCTCTCTCTCTCTGTCTCTCTCTCTCTCTCTCTCTCTGTCTCTCTCTCTCTCTCTCTCCAGTCTCTACAGGACAGAGGAGCCGGGGAGCGTTCAGCCCCGACCCCCGGCGCGCCAGTGCACACCCGGGTGCCACGGGCGTCTTTTCACCCCCCCCCCCACACACACAGTTTCGTCGCGGAGGGCTCGGCGGAACAAGAAATTCCTTTCTGCATGTTGAGTATCGCTCTCTCTCTCTCTCTCTCTCTCTCGCTCTCTCTCTCTCTCTCTCTCGACCAGGCTAGAGAAAAGGAGTGGATCCCCCCACGGGAGCGAGCACTTGCAAGCCCAGGCAGGGTTTTCAGAATTCGTGGTGGAGCTACGCTCCAGACGGCTTGGCTGTTCGCAGGGTTCGCCTCTATGTAGGCAGGTGCACCACCTTTTCGAAAACTCTCTCTCTCCCACTCCATGGTAGGACGCACTTACGCACGCCATGCAACTTTGCAAACGCAACTTCACGCATGGAACTGAACAAGTGCACGAAAGCCCGGCTTCATGATTTGCTCTGGGCCTCAAAACTTGCTCAAGCTGCTGCTCAAAAGCTTCGAATCACTGTAGTGCCTCAACTTCAAAAAGCTACCAACGAAACGCTTCAGCCACATCCAATGTGGATCCGAATATCGCCACCATCATCATCAGCAGCCTCAGATCTAGTCTCCAAAACCGTTCACCAACTTGAGGGGCCAGCTCTGAGCACATGTAGATCGGCAATTGCAGCAGCATCCAAGAGCGCTTGGCCTCAACCACAAAGTTGAGGCTCTTGCCCTCTACAAGCGGTGAGTCAAAGTGACGAGCTTCATCTCAAGGCTACGAGGCAGGCACGCTGAAAATCAGCGAAGTAGGAGGGAACGGCGATGACTGCCTCAGCAGGCCAGAACCAACATACACTCTATCTGCAATAATCTACACTGGGCCAACCAGGAATGGAAGCAATCTCTCAGAGATCTCAGGGAGCTGGAGCTATCGAGGTCAACTTGAGGCATCTGCATCAGCCACCTTTGCTCCACACCATGCCTCACCCAAGCTCTGCGACATGCTCCCCAACGAAACACAATGTGTTTCGTTCTCGCTGCATGGCCTCCGTCACCTGCTTCAGCTTGGTCAGGAACATGGCTGTAACCTCGTGATGTAGCATGAATCCATGAACAATCAGAAGGCATCCGGAGTCGAGGACAAGATTCTTCCGCCTCAGTCGCCGAGAATTGCGTCGTCTCACCCTTGTAGCTGACTGAATATCCTGCGAAGCCATCCTGCAACCAAGCACCATCAGTGTCCCGAGCCTTGAATCGAAACTGTGGCCTCTGTCTGCACTAGGGGACAAGTTGACCAAAACCTCGGCGCGACAAATGCAGGTCAACGGCCAACATCCCCTGGCATCTGCGAATGTTAAGATTCAGCTGCTACTGGCTATAGGCCCTGACTTCTCTGCATCGACCGCAGGGGAGTCGAACCTCTTAGCGTTAACGTGACTGCTTGGGTGAATACTTGTCATTGTCCAACCTCTGGCCCAGTAGGTGTTTGAAGTTTCGACCTCGATGCGACGGGATGACGATTCGAATGGTGCACTGTCAGCTTTCATGGCTTTCTGTGTTTTCGGTGGTACTCGATGCCGAGGGCACCGCATGTGTTCTTAGCATTCGACCTCTCAACGTGGGGGTACGTACAAATGTGTGGCAAAGCAACACTTTCCATGTAGTCGCCAAAGGTTCAATGCGACACCGTCGGCTTTACTTGCCGGGCGCACTTGATCTGCGACAGCGCGGTGTCTCCGAGAAGACGCTCTCTGTCGGTAAACCCAACCTCATAGACATGCTGCGATGCAAGACTGGTGCAAATCAGTATCAGCATGTGACAGTATGTGTAATCAGCACGCAGGAGTACTCTTTGAAGCGTCCGGCCAAACTGGGCGTCTTCCTCTGAGAAACCTCTCCAATGCGCTGAGCTGTCGTGCCAATCAATGACTGGTTTGCTTGAAGGCGAAGCTTTCTTGGGGATGCTGCAGGATCATACAGGATCCTCTTCAAGGCCGAGCATGGCACATTGCATGCCCGACATCCCACATCTCATCGCGACACCCGTGCGATCTGGCAGCCCACCCATTGCAAAGCCGACTATGCTCTGTCTTTCAACGTGCGCTGAAGCATGCCGGTAAAACTCTACTATCCAGTGACCAAAGACTGCCGAGATCTAAGAAGGACCGCCACGACATTCACGACTGCCGACAATGCCCTGCACATCCCTGGACTCTAAAAACCCACCCCAAAGGTGGAGTGGCTTCAGCTTCATTGACGGGTCGGGCTCGAAATGCAACATGCGCCTGGGGAATGGGAAGCAAAACTGAAAAAGACTCATCAGTGGACCCCCAAAGACGCCCATAATCTCTCGTCACTCTCGTCCATCGGCCACAGCGCGCGGGGCTGCTAGGGCATGCGGGCGAAGTGGGTACCGGTCCGTGCTCAGCTACGGCCATTCAGACGCACTCAGAATCTGCGAAGACAGGGCTGCCAGAGCCAGCGGCAACTACACAACGAGGAGAGGCTGTCCTTAGATATATGTGAGCCTGTGGCATCTTCTGCATCATCTCTCCATCCTCTTTTTGCTCACACTGCGAGACCGGACTTTCGCGTGGGGGTTCGCACACTCACATCAGAGTGGCAGAGGCTTCGGCGAGGACAAAGGTAAGGTGAATCCGAGATTGGACTGTCGGAAGTCGAAGGATCGAACCCACAGACAATTCTTGCGCGTCCGCCGCCTGGATAGTGCAATGTTGTAGCTTGTAGACTCTCTAGACGCCTATAGGCCTATAGACCAGACTCGCTTCACGGTGGTAGTCCGCAGCTGCCACCACAGTCAAGAGACAACTTGGATAGTATCAAACGCGAAAGCACAGCTGTTACACGGCCTGGGCTCTAGCTGCCCCTGGTTTTGCATAACCTGACTCCTCCGTGTTCAAAACTAGATCGTGCAGTGCCAAAATTGCGAAAGCATAAAACAAGCACCATCTGGGTCCTTCCAACTCGTCTGCAGTGTGAAACTTGTGCCAGTGTCATACAGCATAGAAAGGATCTTACAACCTTGACCATGATAAGGGAGCCAAGCCTCATTCTGAACAACTTCTATGGCTCCCCCGCGGATGTATGCCACCTCAGCCAGCTGCAGTTGCTCAAATACCCAGAAGCCTCCACGGTTGGTACATAACGAAAACAGGCTCGTGGCGTACGAGTCAGCCGTTCCCAAATCTATGCCGATGACCTGCAGTCGCTCGACACTTCCGTGCTCAACTTCTGCTCGTCTGAGCAGCACATGGAGTCTCTCAGGAAATCGTCCAGAAGCTTGTTTCATGCACATTCAGCATCGAAACATCAAAAGAAAATTCATTCGCATAACCTGACTTCATCTGGGCTAGTGACCAGCTTCTGCTCTTCCATGAGCTGACGAGTGAAGAACAATAACCGACATGCAACTTCACCGGCTCACCAGAAAGCTAAAGAACTGCTGCGTGAGTGATTTGTGTCTACTTGAGCTGTCTTTGAAAAATCTCTGCTTTGGTGAACTACTGCTGGATGATGATGTGATCCTTTGGCTACAGGCTGGCAGTGCCACGCAACCGTATCTCTTGCTCTACAGTCCATTGCTTTACCTGGAGGGAGGTGCAGCGGCAACCCAGCAGGCATCAGTCTTACAACTTTCGATGAGGGAGAGAAACTAACTTGCCACGTTCTAGATCTTACTTATCCCATGCGAATGAAGCTTGGATCAGGCGGACGCAGGTCGAAGTTAGAGTGCCACAAAATTGAGTCCACATAGTCTGATTATGTCCGGGTCTTTCCCTACTGCAAGATTGATGATTACACCGAAACCCTGTCGAATTCGGCTCCGTGTCCACAACTTCGCAACCCACTCCGAGACGGCTCTGTGGAATCGACTGCACCGAGCCGGAAACCCTTGCAGAACCTTGCTCCTGAATCCGGCATTGGTTTTGGCTCCATCAGCACGAACATACAGCTTAACCCCAAACTCCTCATCCGAAATATACCAATCTCTGAATCCATATCTGCAGAGGATTGCTTACCAGAGGAGAGGCCAACCAGTGTGCATGCACCACACTCACACTCGCTTCGCTCGATATACTTTCGGGCAAACTTGAAAGGGGTGGGGAAGTGGCTGAAATTTCTTTCTGTGCCACTGTGGCATGGTAAGCGATGATGCAGGCCTCTAGGTCGCAAGCGCGACACACTGATCATGCACATGACATCTTTAAAACAAACGCAGGCACCTCACAAGTCACCACAGCAAATCACGGACTATTTGCTCCTCAAACATGTCTGCATCGGCTTGGTCTTTGCAGCCGGATTTTTGTATGATCCTAGCGATCTCAATCAACAGGTCCTGCCTTAGTTTCAAGTCCAGTTCGGGTTTGCACATGAAGCCTCCGCACCTGGTCACTCTTCCGAGGCCTGCCTCTGTGATGTCGGACTGGATGCTCCGGTTCAACCCCTCAACGAACTTCCTCAGGGCTCTGCAGGGCAGAAGACCTGTCCTCTCCACTGCCAAAGCTGTTATCTTCACTATTGAAGCAGCGTCCTCGCATAACTGGCTGCGAAAGCATGGGCCGACTTTTGCGAAGAGATGACCCTGTCCAGCAATTCAAGAGGCATGGCTGTCTACGTCATCCGTGCGCCAGCCTCGCAAATCTGCCGGCTTCCAGGCCAAAGAACAGACCTTCATAGAAGTGCATAGGAAGTTGGTGCTTCGCATCACGGAAAGCCGAACTCAGAGGAGCCCGCAGTCGCAGAGTGTTCTGAGCTCACCCCGATGGACCTGGGCTGTTGAGCTAAGTTGTGCCACAATACGGACAATACGACTTGCTGCGCTTCTACTGTGGAAGTTCTAAAGCATGGCGAGCTCGCGACCCAGCCAGTCCAAAGGGCGGCTTCACTCAGCCACTGGCCTCCCACATGTCGGAGTCATTTTGTCTTCTGCCAGTTTATGCTCATTTATTCAACACTATCCAACAGAAGGGCCCTGACCGCTCTGCAAGGTCTTCCGGACCTGCTCCAGGGAAGGAGCGGTGGCTGTCTGTGCGAGCGTGTTACCCGGACCTGTGTTCCCGGGGTTCCTGCTGGCGAGTCCTGCCACTGTGCGAGCTTGAACTGCAGCGGAGTGATCATGTGCCTTCCCCTGCATGGCAACCATCACTGTCTGCTACAAAGAGCGTTGCTAGGTTTGATACCAGGCAGTGCAGGGGGTGCCAAGGTGGCTCTACTGTAGAGCTCAGTCCCTGGGCGGTGGCAGCTGCGCAGCATATTGCGACTGGCCGCTGATGATAACGTACCTGAATCAACCGGCCGGCTCCAGTGATGCAAACAGCAATTGCGAAGCAGAGCGGGTGAGGGGCTCACATCATGGAACACGATTCTCCCACGGTGAAGACCTAATACCAAGGCAGCACCAGCCGCACATTGCAGTTTCAGTAGACATGCCGTGCTCCCGACCACTTCCGGAGAACAGTGAAAAACTGGAACCAGTGCCTTTAGCAGCGTCTTGGTCATTTGTTACTTAGTCTGCACATGACTAAGTAGCTGTAATGTTTTCCTGCAGCATCTTCCCTTCTGTTCCTCACCGGCGAATACACCGTCTCGTGCTTCTGGTTCGTTTCTCATGGACACGAGTCAGCTCACACCCTGCAAGCTTTCGGCAAAAAGCGGGAAAGGTCAGACTACCGGAGTCTGGAAAACACCCTGTGCGGTTTGCTGCCCCCGAGAAGATCTGTATAATATGCACTTTCTTCGCCTTGGCCCTCGCCACAAAGATCCCTTGTTTCGCCTCCTCTTCACCCTCCCCTTTCGTATCCGGCACCAGGAATCCTCTCTCCTTCCCTTTGGACCCATTCACAGGCCCCAAGGTCAAGCGGTGAAGTTTCGTGTCCTCCAACGGATTTTGGTCGTAGGTAGTCCCCCCTGAGCCCCCTCCTCCCCCTCAAAAAAACAGCAGCAATTCGTCGCCCCTCTTTATTGGCAGCCGGCACGAGGCGGACAAGCGTTTACACTTACTTGAACATCGAGTCATCAAGGTCCCGTGATTGAATGTCTCTCATGCGATCGTCAGGCCTGGCTGGATCGGACTGTCATTTACATTGCATATGTTCGATGTACATCCTTACAACAATCGCTCAGATGTTTCAAGGTATCTTGCCATCTTCGCCAGCCACGTCCTCCATCTATGTCTGCTCGCCTCTCCACGCTTTGTTCTGATGGTGCTGTAGCGGCTCCGCTTGCGAACATCGCGCTCACACGCTTTGGCTTCTGTCGATTTGAGGTCGCACTGAAGAGTTGCAGCGAGGAGCTTGCAAGATTCGGCATGCCTGGTGATGCTCTTCTGGCTCACGTTGCACTCGAATGCTAGTTGAATTCAGTGACTCGGGTCTAAACACTGGACTCCCGGGATGGTTGCTGAGCAGAGCAACATCTGCAATGACAGGGGGTCCAGTAACGTCGATCCAGGAAATCGCGCGAGTTCAGCCAAGAAACTCCGATTAATTGGGCACACCATGCAGGGAAGCTGTTCTGCGTGCCGAGGTTTTTTCAGAGGGCGGGGCAAGTGGCCAGGTAGTGACGGGTTCCCCTTCTACCGCCCCTGAGTCCTATTTCACACAAACTGATTTTTGTTTCTCTGCGTAGGGCTTGAGGCACGAGTCTTACTGCTTCAAAACAAACAACTGCGTGTTTGCTTGCTTGCTCCCTCGCTCTCTAGCCGACTCGCTGTTTCCGGCGTCAATCGGACCCGCACATGGTAAGCGAACAATAAACAGTCTGTCTTTGTCTCGTCTCTCTTCTAATACGAATCAAGGATGCATGTGCAAGCAGCACAAGCCTCGCAACAGAGCTGGTTGAGAAGCTTCGGGTGCTTGTGACGAAAGCCTCGCATTCCATTTTGCAGCCTCGCTCTCTTGGCGTTCGATGTGCTGCTGGGAGCTCTGCTACGAAAAAACGGATGCTCGATCAGGGGAGGTGCCGACATCTCCTCAAGGGACAGACAACAATTGCATCATCGCAGTTGTTGAGTTCTGAGGCCGACACCTCCATGATCTCAGTGACCAAGGTCATGGCATTTCGTCGGGCCTTAAGCTTTCCGACCAACTCAATCTTGTGCGCACAACTACTCAGTTGTCCCGTCAAGCTCGCAACGCCAGCGAATCCCGTAAACCGCATTGCCAGCATCAAGCCGCGAGCTTTTTCCGGGTCCCTGGGTCGGAACTGGTGGAGCCTCGAGCTCAAGTACACCAAGAACGGCCTAGCAATAGTAGCTGAGGGCTGAGAGTGCAGCTGGAGCCAGTCTACATGTCTCTGCACGCGTATGCTCAGCAATTGTGGTGTCTGGTGCCTGCGAAAGCGCTTCAAAAGTCCTCTGCTTGCAAGTCCACTGCTATGGCAGTTGAACAAGCCGAAAGTGTCAGGTTAGCCTTCGAAGGAAATCGGCAGCGATCTGCCTCTGCACCTTCCTGCGCCCACCGCGAAAGTTGAATACCGCGCGGCACAGACAAGATGTCAAATGAAGGGCCAGATTGGGGAGGGACTTGGATTGAAACGCTTGGAGAATCATGAGTTTTTAGTTCGAAAGTTTGAACGATTCGAGAATGGAAAGTTTGGAGTTTACAGATTTGAACGGGGATTAAGTTCGAAAGCCTGAAAGCTCGGCGACACGCACCGAGTGACGGACTTGGGAGGACGCATGAGGACGCGGAAGTTTGAAAACTTGAGAAATCCCAAAATTCAAACATTGAAGGTTTGCAAGTTTCAAAACCTGCAAGGTTTGACAGCTTGCAAGTCTGAGCAGATTGAACTTATCCACCCAAGTGTGAAAGTTTGAACGCACAGAGCTTGCGAGTTCCAACACTTCGAAGTCTGAGACTCTGGAAGCCTGGTGCACGAAGCTGACATGCTTCAAGGACTGAGAGTTTGAAAGATTGACAGCTTGAGTTTGAAATGTGTGCGATTTGAGAGGTTCTCTGGTGTTGTACCCATGTTGCATCCAACGGAATCTTGTGTTCAGGACGCATGCCACGAATATGGGGATTGGAGTTGAGAGAGTCGCGGTGCCAAGATGGCCGAACCCTGAACAACACCTCACTCAAGCAAGGTTATCTGGACTTTAATTGTGTGCCCTGATTACCCGAAACCTCAAACCCTTTTCAGGTGTCTGGGTTCTTCAAGCCCAAATCTTGCCTGCCCAAACCCAAGCTTTAGTGACAGGGTGGATTTGACAATGATGAGGGCCCGGGTTTGAGACAGTGGCCTGGTCTAACACATGTCATCATCTGTCATCGTTTAATGAGAGGGCGGGTTTAAGCGACAGACCTCTATCGCCTACTGTAATGAGGGTGTTATCAATCGTCATTAAATGAGGGGGCCGGTTTAAGACATGTGATCAACTGCGAGCGCCCCCGGCGGATGTCGGAGCGCTAGAATCGCCCTGTGAGCATGGGCCTAGGTGCAAGCCGGCGAGACAGGCGGATTCCTTTCAACCTTTCCTACCTTCGAACGGTCATCCCCTCGAACTCTCAAACTCTGAACTCGGCGGGCCGTCAAACTTTCGAGCTGGAAAAAAGGCCCCTTCAAACTGTCGAATTTTGATGCGAAGCCGGGAGCCGAACTTCAAACTCGACGCTTCCGAACTTTCAATCCTTCAGATATCTCGCTGGCGACATGGAAATCCTTCGAACTTTCATCGTTAAGCGCGGAACTCGGCGGCTAAAGTTTGGGAGGTTGAGTTCGAATTAACAGCTTCGAGATTGCAAGGTTGGAAGTTTGATGCCAGCTCACTTGCCCATACCAACAAGCACAAGCATCCGAACTTCACTAAATTTCATGCTTTGAACCCTTAACGGTTCAAGGCTTCGAACTTTCAAAGTCTCCACCCTTCGAGCTCGAACACCCTCGCTCGGGACGCCATGCGAGAGAAGGAGTGAACTCCAAGCTGGATGATCACGGACCTGCAAGAACGACGTACAAGTCGTACCCTGTCCTTTCTTTCCAGAGCGTTCGCAGCTGGTAGACCAGGTTGGACAGCGCCCAGTGCCGTCGAGTTAACAGTCCAATCTGCAGCAAACGAGAGATCTCAAATTGTTTCTCTGACTCAAATGCAAGACCCGCATGAACCTGGCTCAACCCCGAAGATGAATGAACGACAGGTGAGCGACGGCGCGGTTTGACCGGAATCACTCGAGGGATTTTGCGCCTTGTGTGCCCCGCGGAAGCAGAACCTGCAGTCACAACACATGTGCGTGTGGCCTGTACAGGCATCAACAGAGCCGCAGCGTACATAATTGGAGACAGCAGCACTTCCTCACACTGTTTCAAGTTCACCGGAGGCATCTTTTCCGACTCGTTGGTGACGAGCTCAAGCATCGACTCGTAGGAAGGCAAACCAACGTTTCACAGTTGTTTCTTGCCTTGAGCAGCGAGCGTTGCCAAGTTCTTTCAGCGCAGTCTTAGAAAGAGCGTGCGTTCCTTACTACTTTCTCTTTAATTTCATTGCTTTAACTATGCCGCATGAACGAACGAACGAACGGTGCATAGGATGAGATGTAGAGGTGAGATGAGATTGGTCTTTGGCTTATTTCATTTGGTTTGCTTCAAGTAAATGTAGCGAAATGGAATGAAGCACGGTTTCATTGAAATAAACCAAAGTTAGAGCAGCAAAAGGGTAAATGAAGCAAACGAAAACGGAAAACATGCATTCTTTGTTTTTCACCTTTGCATTTACTTCATTTCGCTACGCTCACTGCTTTCGCTGTTGTTCCTTTGTTTCGTTTAATTCACGCTCTTCATTTGTAATTAAACGAAACAGAGGGAAAAGGAGACAAGAGAAATGGAAAAAGAGCGTGCGTCATTCGTGCCTTCATTTCCTTACATCTTTTTCCTTTCTCGTTTACCCTTTTTAAGTGTGACTGTCGGGCGGTGGTGTCAGCTGTTGGGTTATGTCCTTGTGTGCTTCCTTGCTTAATGTAAGAAACGCATGAAATAAACAAGAGAAACCACACAACACACAACCGAGATATCCTAGACTTGGAGGTGTAACAGGTGTGAGGATAACAGTGAGGAGCGAAAATGAGACGAACGACTCCCACTGATTGATGAATCTGGGTCGTGAGTGAGCGGTTGGTCTAGGTTAAATCAAGGTAATTCCGGGCCCTTGTCATCTAAATCAAAAAGAGCGTGCAGTCTGTGCGTCTTGGATTTAGATTCACAACGAACCAACATCACACAGCTCACAACCGACAACGAAAGTGACGGGAAAACCAGCCATCGTGAGTCTTGCTTCTATAGTTGCTGATAAAGGAATGGTGCTTACGTTTCATTTTAATATACTGAAAACATGATCTAAATTGAAGAAACGGAAGCAACAAAGAAAGGAGAAAAAGGTCAGGGAAACCCAAGGGACGCACGCTTTTCTCTTTTCTTTCTTTGCTTCCTTTAACTCAACCACAACGGCTCCCATAACACCCAGATCATGGATGCTCATCATCCTGTTCTCTGTGGTGAAATTTGATAAGCAAAAAACTTGTCACCTTGGTTTATCTTTATTTAATTAGACCACAGAACCACACGTGACATCCAGAATCTACCCTTTTGTTACAATCTACACCATCACCGCACAGCTCCTGTTCGTTCTTCTTTTTAATTGAAACAAAGGGTAGCTTGGGCTTCACGACAAGGCATGCAAATGCAATTTCTCTGTCAAAACTGATTGGATAGCTGCTTGCCTACCAGTTCGCAACACTGGTCTACGCCGACGCTCTGCTAACGAATATGCAGGCAAGGCACAGGCAGCTAAAAAAGAAGTGCAAGATAGTGAACAGGACCAGGAAAGACTTCATGGCCTTGCGATGCACAACTCATGGCGAGTCATTCAACTTGCGGTCGATTCCAAGGTCGTCTCTCCGATGGCCACAAACACGACAGCATCTTGAAGAATGTCCTTTCACAATGGCGCGCGACAGACGTTGTACAGCTGTGAGACTACAAAAAAGAAAAAAAGAAAGAGAAAGAGAGAGAGAGCGAGAGCGAAAACGAGAGCGAGCGTGACGAGCACGAAAGAGCGCGAGAGCGAGCGAGAACGCGATTAAGCGAGAGAGCGAGTGAGAGCGAGCGAGAGAGAGACCGAGAGAGA